ATTTTAAATAAAGCTGATTCCATATAAAATAAATGCAACAAAATTATAATGTATGTTAATAAAGTATATTAATAATTTAAAACTCAATCAAGCAGTAAGTAGGTGAAGTTATAACAACAAAAACAATATGTTCAGCCAAGTAAGGCCAGTTCTTTGAATACTTCTTTTGCGTGTGCCACCCACAGTCCCGTTAAAATACAAAAAATACAATGTAGCCGGTTTGTTTACCTATGCGCGCAACACTAGCTTAAAAACAACAAAACTGTTGTGAAAAAAGCAGCTGTGCATATAACAGCTTTATCAGTTTCAATAACATAAGTACATATTTGTATAATGAGGATCAGTATAAATATAATATAATTTGTATTAAAAAAAAAATAAATAATGTAAAATTTTAACGAAATATTTCAAACTAAATACATAAGTATATGTTTCCATATATTTATTTCGTATATATGTAGAAATGTCCGTGCTTATCCACATTAATCGCGCAATCAACTTAGATGTAATAATTTATAATCAAAATCTTAATCCAGATTTGAAAATCGTAAAAAGTTATCATAAACTAAAATTGTATTTTTATATATACATACTTACATAGCCATATACATATAGGTGTACATATCTCCATCTCTAAAAAAGAATTGCGCAAAAAACGCACTGTTAAACAACCAAAGAACGAAACTAGTTTAAAAGACAAATTATGCATTTTGGGCAATATTAAGCCATACAGCATGCGATTGTTATTATTTTGAATTTTTTCGCTGCAAAATTCACTGACACTTGAGAAATTATTGCTGCCACTCCAATTTTGGGGATTTGTACGTACGAGTATGCTTTTAGTTTAGCTGGTCAGTGCAATGCACAACGAGGCTAACAGTGTGGCAATTTAAGCAAAAAGTCGCTTGACAATTAATGTTACTTAAAAATAACTTCACATATAATTTTTTACATTAAGCATATGTTGTATAAATATGTCGCAAAATTTTTTAAGAAAAAAAATAATAATAATTCAATTAAAATATTTTTCGCGAGTTTTAAAGTAAAAGAAATAACATCTTTTTATATGATCATAGCAAAAAATTTATTTATCCACTTAAAAAATATAATATTTTTTTATTTAAAATTTTTATAATTTTTTTATTGTTTTTGAAGTAAAAAAAAAAAATAATTTAATTAAAATAATTTCGACGAGTTCTAGAGTAGAGAAAATATAACCTTCAATACTGGCATTAAAAAAATTACTTTTACCTCTTAACAAATTATAATATTTTTTTTATTTCTTTTCATAGTTTTTTACTCTTTTTTATGTTTAAAAAAAAAACTCGGTAAAATTAGGTTTTAATTAAATTTTTTTGTTTATATTTTTTTAACTAAAAAAAAAGTCAAATATTATATATTGAGAAAAATTTAATTAACATACTTTTACTCAGTTTTTGAATACAAAAAATTAAACCTTTAATATCTGCAAGAAAAAAATATATAATATATAAAAAAAGGTATAATATTTATTTATTAATTTTTTTATAAATTTTTAATATTTTTTTTGAGTTTTATCGTTTTATTTTACTTTTTTTCAATTTCTTTTTATATTTCTTGAAAATCTGTGATTGAATAATAACAATATATAACTTATAAATTTAATTTAAATAAAATATTTTTTAATATTATTTATATACATATACGTACGTAGAAAAAAAATTGATATAAATTGATGACATACATACATTTTTTAGATATACGAGTATGTATATAGAAAAGCACACTAAAATTGAAATGAAAAATTAGCAAAACACAAATTGTAACATATTTTTATAAATTATTTTATACTTTTTTTATTTTAAAAATCCAACGCTTTCCATTTTCAAAATTTTATGTTTTTTTTTCAAAATACGATTTTAAGAAAATTTTTTTTTAAAAATTTCAAAAATCTTTAAACTTTTCAGTCGCCACCACTGTTACCAAAATTTACAAAATCTTATTTTGCCATTTATTATCGGCTTGCCCAACTTTAATAAATAATATTTTATTTTTGTTGATTTATGCGCTTTGATTTGTTTATGAGTGACAGTTTTGTTGTGAATTGCGTTCGATTGCGCGACAATGTTGTTGTACTCAGATTTATATAGCACATACACAATTGGTAGTTGTTGTTGCTGCAGCGGTGATTTGCGTACGATTTCTGTCATATGGTGTGTTGTGCATAAATAATAATTATTAATGTGCCAGCCAAGGAGCAAAAATGATGGCGTTTAGTATTATTTGCATGCGCATAAGCTTTCATTAGAATTAAGCTTTTTTGCAAACCCGAAAGCGCATAATTAATAATTTATATTTTTATTTTTATTTTTACACACACACACACACATCCAATTGGTCACATTTACCGCCATTATATTTGACACAGATTACTTTTGTCGTTCGTATTATTTGTGATTCCAAATTATGGATACGAATTGTCTATGTATGCGTATGTGTAGTCAAAAATTATACGCTTATTTTTGTTGCATTTTTTTTAACCCTTTTACTAAAAAAAATTATTTTTGTTTATTCAAAATTAAAAATTATAAAAAAATACAAAATTAAACATTTGAGAAACTTAAGATAGTATACTGATTTATCGAAAATTACTATTCTTAAAAGATTTTTTGCAGACAACATATAATATTAATGCCAAGCCTTTTGATAGCGTAAATATACAAGAATAACTGCTCAAAAGATTTTTTCGAAAAATTCTAGAAAAGCTTGTTTTCAAATATAGAAACCAAAAAATGTTTTTTTAGAAAATATATTAAAATTTAGAAAATTAAGCTAAAAGAATATAATATTATAATATTCTAAAGTTATCGAAAAAAATTACTTTTCTTGAAAGATTTTAAATTTTTCGTGAAAATAACTCGTCACATGAAAAAGTTTTCCATACAAGAACTGGACTTTGAATGAGCTCGATGAGATAAGGTCGTGTGCAAAATTTCAGATCGATATCTCAAAAACTGAGAGTCTAGTTCGCGTATATACAGACGAACGGACAGACGTACATGGCTCAGCTCGTCACGCTGATCATTTATATATATACTTCATAGAATCCTCAACGTTTCTTTTTGGGTCTTACAAACATCGTGACAAATTTAATATTTCCTGTTTGGGGTATAAACATTTTTTCTAACAAAACAATTATACAGAAGAAATATTTATTTGTGTATAGGATTTTTCTAATTACTTCAATTTAATTTAAATTTAATTTAAAGCAGCATAAAATCAATTTTTGTTTGATTATTATTGTTATATTTTTTTTTAAATTTTTTATTATAATTATTTCCTAAAAAACTATAAAAATACAATATTAATCCACAATTTCAATACTAATTTAAGCCTAAACATTATTTGTTGATCATTCCTTATGTGTTCGTGACTAATTGTGTGTTTTGTTTTCGTTTTCTGTTTCTCCCGCCCACCCGCGCACACAGATCTTGACCAAACGCACTTGAGTAGCAAAAACAAAATGGAGAACGGCATACAGGTGGTGCCGCAAACACCGTTACTCGTCAGCGATTACCTAACACTCAGCGCACCACCCACATATTCCCGCCTGCCACCCGACGGCCATGAGTTTCCGCCCAATTTCAGCGAACCTCTCCTAATGCCCCCGCCAAGCACGAACCTGTTAAAGGCCGCCAGTCTCATGCAGTCCACCACTACCACAATGACAATGTCGAGCACAAAGGGCAGCGCCAACAATAACAACAACACAAACACAATTTACACAGAGAAACTGTATACAGCAGCCAGCGCTAATGGTGGACAAACAATGGTCGCCAGCACACGTACAACACATACACACATCAGCAGCAATGTTACGAATGGTGCCACAGCCACTGGTGCAACGGTGGCAGCAGCGACGGCTACATTGACAACACAATCGGCGTCACCGAATGGCACATTGAAGAAAAATAACACAAAAGTGGAAATGCCCACGCTGGAGTTCAACGTCAACAGCAGTGGCAGTAAAGTGCCCGCCTGCACAGACACAGTCAGCGCACCGCCACCGTTACCGAAATCTGGACCGCCACCGACGGTGCCGCGCAAGGTGTATCGACAGGATTTGGTGGTAAATGTGGAGGACACGCGTCAGCCGACTGATAAGCGCAACGATGTGCTCGCCGAAGCCACTACGCCATCGGGCGCCGGTAACGGTAAATTAGTATTCGAGTCAAGACACAGCCGTTCCACGCAGAATCTTTCGTCGAGCGGCAGTAGCACGCCAACAGCCAACAAATTGGAACCACCCACATTTGATTTGGGCGCCAGTGGAAACGATTACAAGCGTTCGTTAAGCGCGCCACGTCGCCATGGCGATTGGCGTAAGGATGAGAAGTCGGAGAAAAGCGTACGCGACAAGATCGCTATGTTTTCCAATGATGCGGAGGGAAGTGGCGTTGAGCCGCCAGTAAAACCCTTAAGCTTTTCACGCACACAGAGCGCTACGAAGCCGCTCAATTTAAGCACGGAGAATTTGCTCGATACAGCCACTAGCGCGCGCTATACCAACACAGCCTCTAATCTGACGAAAACGCGTGCGATGAGCGTAGAGAATCTGAATGATGTAGCGCGTCAGGTACAATTAGCCAAACAATTGCCCACACAAACCTTTTCGGACTCAATGTACGCGCTAAATACATTGGCCACCGACTATACACAGAGTTATGCGTCATTGCCGCGTCGTCATATGCAACACTTGGAGCGTCGCATCAGCTTTTCGGGTCAGCCAACTTATATGCCGGATGAGGCATCACGTAAGGCTGCCATAACAAATATATTGGAACAACGGCGCCGCAGCATGTCCAAGCTGCGCGGTCTGGTAATACCAGAACGGCCACATGTGCCTTTGGAGCCCATACTAGATCTCCCCGAGATCAAAAGTCGTGATAGTGAGAAGTTGAAATCCGGTAACACGTCGTCTACAGATTCCACGGATAGCGGTGTTGGTTCGAGTAGCGGTTACTTCTCAACAGTGCCACGTCCCGCAAAACGCACAGAACTAATACAAAACTCACCGCTGCGTCCACTTACAGTGGCCACCACAAGCAATTCCGCAAACATTGCCGCAAATAATGGTTATCGTAGCATTTTTAGCGCACAAACTGCTTCGCCACGACATGCCACAATGGTGCAATCACCCTTAGCTATGCCACATCAGCCACGGCGCTTCGAGTCAGCGTTACAGGGCACACCGCCGGCTAAGCCACCACGCACCTCGCTCAGTGTGCCACCACGTCAGCATGCCATGCATGAAGAAAGCGACTCTGATTCTGTTTTCTCTTCAAAGGTTTCCTCACCACCCATGTCGCCGTGTGTGCCACAGGTGCCTGAGAAGTTTGCGCTCACACGCACGCTCTCCTCAGAGACTAACACTTCAATAGCCAGCTCAACTACTTCTACGCTCACATCCGGCTCGGGTTCGCAGGCGAGCTGTTCCTCAGTGGGTAGCACACCGACAGTTGATTTGTCGCGTCGTGTATTGAAGTCAGGCTCCAGTGATTCAGCAACAAATCGTAAGAATATACTTGCTTCGGCGAAGTGTCGCAATGGACGCGGTGACGCTTCGGCGTTACTACGTAATCGTCCCTACGATGATGAAGATAGCACTGATGGTTATGATGAGGACGAGGTCCGACGAGTACACAAATCGAAGCCGCGTTCCACATCAGGTGCTTCGTTGGTGATCATGCCCAACAAGATGCTGTCAGCGTCGGCACCCATCAACTATAAATTGGTTTCAAAAAATGACCAGAATCTCGTCGATAAGGTCATCAACGTGGCCGCATATGTTGAGGTCACTTCAGATACAGATGACAGTAGCCGTAAATCGGATAGTACCTCGCCATTGAAACTCAGTGCCATGTTAATCGATGAAGAACGCAAAGCCAGCTTCAAGGCCGATCCCAGTCAAAAGGCCAGCACACCACCGAAAGTGGCGTCCAAACCCAAACCGGCTGTTATACTGTCAGCAGTAACCGCGGTACCCGTACAACCTCTCACGCCACGCAAAGCAACTGAAGTAGTGACGCCACCGAAGAAGTCACAGTCCGATGCTAGCAATGAGCTAACACAATGGATGCAAGTTGAGGTTGCTAAAAAGACTTCGCAACAATTAACCAGTAGAAATATGCCCGAACGTATGCCGCTCAAGCCGGTACTTGAGAAATATGAATCCTCGGTGGTAAGCACTAAAACTTACATTAGCAAAACATCCACAGCAGCAAAGGTGACCACAGCTGAGATACGTGAAAAGTTCGAACGTACAGCTGCCGCAGAGCGTGCAGCCGCCGCTGCAGCAAATGCCACTTCGAATGTCTCGCCTGCTGTCTCAACGAATAGTCTACTTGCTACTAAAGTCTTGACCGGCAAAGTTGGTGCTAACTATCACGAACGTTTTCCCTCACTTGATTCCATAGCCTCATCATCGTCTGGTGTTAGCTCGAGCACACAGAATGTATCCACACAAGAGAATACCAACGAATTCGGTAGCTTTTCGTCGCTTGGCAGCAATCAGAGCTTGATTACTGCACAAGATATACAGCAGATCATTGAGGAGGCGGAACCGCCACTCAAGACACCGGAAGCTTTCATAGTGGTGCTACAACGTGATACGCCCGAGAGTAGTATTGGCATCACACTTGCCGGTGGCTCCGACTACGAAGCCAAGGAGATTACGGTATGTACTTCAATAGATTCTTATAAAATTTTAAGCAGAAACTTAAACGAAAAATTACATTCCAGATACATAAAATTTTAAACAACACACCAGCGGCCAAGGATGGACGTCTGAAGAAGGGCGATCGCATATTGGCTGTCAATGGCATGAGCATGCGTGGCCTAACGCATCGCGAGTCCATCACTGTGCTCAAGGTAAGTGCCTGTTGTTTCCACACCGTCATACAATTAATATTCTAATGGCTATCTTAACAGACCCCACGTCCCGAAGTGGTGCTCGTTGTCACACGTTCCGAGTCGGTCATTGTCAAACCGCTCACCAAGAAACGCTCTTCACTGGGCTCACTCACTTCGTTGAATGAAAAACCCACCGAAGTGGATTACGAGAAGAAGCGTAACTACCATAAGGCGTCGCGTTCGCTCGACTTGGACTTAGATATTGTCTCGGCAAGCGAAGATACTGGCGCATCGAAAACACCCAGCACAGTTTCGAGCGCAAGTCCCACACCAACCATGACTGACACCACTGCAGCCACGTTGGCTAGCATACGTACACGTCGTCAGCAGTCGCGTGTAGATGCAAGCAAATTGAGCACCAGTGAGTTGCTGGAGCGTGCCGCCGAGACGCGTAACGCCATTGCGGCGGAAATTCGTGCGCAAGGTTAGTAGAATCGTAGAATCTGTGTAAAAGTCTAAATTGGGTCAAGCATATAAAATAATTTTTTCCTTCCACAGAAGATGCCCGCACCGGTTCACGGTCCGTCGAGATCGTCAAGGACAGCTGCGATGGGTTCTCCATTGAGGGTGGTTTCGATTCGCCGTTAGGCAATAAGCCACACTAATGTGAAGAAAGTCTTTATGGTGGTGAAAACAAAACTAAAAATTTAAGAACATTACACAGCCCATATATGTACATTTGTTGACTTGCATGCAAATATGGAGCGCAGCAGCAGACCTTAATTCTGAGTTAGCCACAACTGTTATGTGTCCGTATTATTTGTATATTATTCGTAGCATACTTGTGGCGACTTAGTATTTCTTGCATTAAATAATTGGTGAATTTTAGTTATATATATAAGAATTTGTGTGAGAACCTTATAACAATTTTTCTCAATTAGTTATAATTTATTATATTTAGATATAACTTTTATTTCTTAATTTTGTGTACTTATTAAATTTTTATAAACCATGTAATTAATTTTATTATATTTTTGTTAAATTTTTTTTTGTGTTTGTATAGTTTAATTTTATAGTTTATTCAATAGCTCCTAATACTTCGGTCTTTATTAAATTTTATTATATTTTAACTTTATTTTATTTTTAATTTTTTATTTTAAATTTTTTTGGTTTTGGTATTTTATGCCTTATTTCATTTTTTTTATTCTTTTTTTTTTTGTGATTCATTAGTATATTTATAATTTATTTAATTTATTTTATACATATATATTAAATATTTAATTAATATTTCAATTTAAAATTTTTAATTTTTAATTATGTATTCAATATTTTTAAATTTGTTCAATTATACTTTAAATTTTTGTATATACTACTAATTTAATTATTCAAATTTCATATTGAATTCTATTTTCTTAGCATAATTTTAACATATTTGAATAAACAAAATATTAGAATATTTTATTTTATTAAAATTTTATTTTATTAAATTATTTAATTTATATTAAATTATTTTGTCGAATTTCTCTTACTTTTTTAACGAATTTTGAAAGCAATTTTTTATATATGCTATGATAGAAATTTTGTTTTCTTTTTTTCCTTAAATAATATTTTTATATTATATTTGTTTTTAATTTTTTAAATTTTTAGTATTTTTTGGAATTTTTAATTATTTGTTTTAATATACTATACGTAATAAATTTTTATAATTTTTTAATATTTCTATTTTAAATATTTTCTAATAATTGTTTAATGATTTGTTGTAATATTTAAATTTTTAAATTTTTTATTTAACGGCATTTTTATATTTTAATTTACCAGGCGGTGCTGCCCACAAAACGGCAAGGCGCAATGGCGATGAAATCTTAAGCATTAATGGCGCGTCTACAGCGAAAATGACGGTGTCGACGCCTGGAACTATATGAAGCAGCTACCATGGGACCAGTTAAGATAGTATTCGTTTAGAGCGAATCAAAAGCAGATACAATGTTAACAAAAACAAAAAATTGTGTAAAAGCTGCAACGACTTGTAATTAGTATATATGTATGTATGTATCGTTTGAAAAGCGCTAAAACAAAACAACCACATTATTAATGTATTAGTTTTAAGTTTTGCTTTACTTGACTTGATTGTGTCTGAAATTGTGCGATTTATTGATTTTGATGATTTATTTTAATTCCTATAATATATAGTATACATATATATTTACATACGGACATGGATGGTTTGATATTTTAAGCAATGAAACGCAGAATTGTTGTAATTATTTTGTAATAGTACTGCAATACATATATATATACATACTATATGTTATGTATCTATAGCATATGAGTAGTTTTGATAATGGCACTGGCATTTTCGGGAAAATTGTTGTTATTGTGGTTGTAGGTATTTACGAGGCAAAAGAGTTGAGCCGCAAAAATAAAAGCAAATGCAAGAAAGTTTAGCTACTGGAAACAGTATATACATATACAATTTCATATGATTTTTATATAAAGACGCGCGTAATTTAATTTTAGCTATTATAAATCTGCCATTTGCAACGAGCAGCGCTAAATCGGTGTAAAGTTGGAAATCGTGCATTAAACAACAAAAACAACCTTTTCAAATCAAAATAAATATATAACCCTTTTAAAAATGCAAATAAAAATGTAATACTTTTTCGTTAAACATAATTATGTTTTTATCTTTTTTTAGTTTTATAATTTCTTTTTGGAGTTTTTCAAATTTTTTATATATTTGAATTTATATTTTTTTATTTTTTGTTTTTTGTACTTTTTATTTTTGTACTAAAACTTATTTAAATGCGTATGTAACAAGGAAGAAATATTAAAAAAATGAAGTTTATAAAAAATTAAATATAAATAAAAAATACTTTCAGATTTTCAAATATTAATTTCTTTAGAACTTTTATTTTATTACATAATTATATTTATATATAAGCATAGTTTTTTATTTATTATTTATTATTATTATAAATAGTTTTTTATTTTTGTAGTGTCAATATTTCTGAAATTTTTAATTTTTTCGTTTCTTGTCGATTTAACATTAAAAATGTAAACCATAAAAAAACAACTGCTGTACTTTTTAAACTTCCATGTGTAATTTATTAGTGTGATATATAATTTTGGTTTTGAATAAATATTTTTCAAAAAAAAAAACTTTTAAAAAATAAAACTTTTTATCTCAAAAATATTATAAAATTCAAATTTATTAATTAATATCTTAAATAAAAAAAAAAACATTTTAAAATTATTCTAGAATAATCTAGACTTGAAATATTTTGAGCCAATCATTCAACATTATTAAAAATATTTAAAAATTAAAGAATATGAATTTTCAACACCTATTAAATTAATTATTATTAAAGTTATTATTATTATATTCGAATTTAAAATAAAATAAAATTCTTACAATGTTTCTGGAAGCTATAAAGCTTAAAAATTATACAATATGTATGTATAAATTCGACAAAATTACAAAAAATTAAAATGTTTCTAAAAGATTCTAATTTTGAAAAATTCCATTTTTAAATTTAATAATATTTTTAAATTTAATTATAGTTTTTATTTTTATTTAAAGTCACTTATTACAGCTACTTAATGTAATTTTGCAACAGCATTAAAAATTACGACATATTAGTATGCATGTTGTTTTCTGCCAAAAAAGTGTTTTAAGAATTGTTTTATACCAGCAAGAACTTGTAATAAAAAAAATTTTGAAATAAAATTTATATTAGTTAATGATATTTATTCAAAATTTTGATTAATTTTTAATTATGCATTTTCCTAAAATTTGGCAAAAGTTCAAGAAGTATGTTTTCCAATCATTTTTATGACCGAAACAATTTGAAAGTTTTTTTTTTAAAAAGTCTAAGTGAAATTGAAATTTTCTTGGCGTTTCTCCCGAATTGCTTTTCTTATTGTTATATTTACAGAAGATTTTATAAAATTCGTGCAGTTTCCTTTTTGTATGGCAAAAAAATGATGGAAAACGTACATAGAAATTTAAAAATTTAATAGAACAGCCATACTTTTTTGCAAAACGTATCTGCATTTGTTTTTGTAGCTGCCGCAAATTTTATGTGCAAATTTATAAACATAAATATATAAATAATAAAAACTAAAATCACTTGGTTGCATGCATACGCCTTTGCCACTACTGTCCTCGTCAAATACTTAACTAGAAAGTGTAAATTATAGCTCACAACAACAAAATGTTTATATCGCATTGCTTAATACACATTTTGACTACGATTTATGAAATGCAGCAATTAATTGTGTGTTTGTCTCAAAAATATCAATAATTTTAGTTAACTAATTTTTTATACTATTTATAATGCTAACATTTATATGCTATAATATATATATATATAATTAATATATTATTTTACACAAAACAAAAACGTAAACGAAACAAAACGCGCAAACTATTGCGTATTGCGGTGCGCCAGCGCGTATACGTAACCGATGTTAAAGGCATGCTAGCATAGCATGCCAACGTACAAGCGGCGTTGAATGTGCTTTTTAAAAGAAGATACATAATAAAGAAAGATATATAAATAATTTTAATTAAAGAAAAATCTAAGCGCAAGTTGAAAACTCTGCCTGTATGAAATTTGAAATTTTTAAATATTTTTGTGAAAAGTTTATACGATTATATTGAATATACATAAATTTATGCATAATAAATATACATTTAATTACATATATGTACGCATTATATAATACTTTATATATAAATATATTGTACTAAACTAAATTATATTATACATACATATACTTTAATACTTATTTACCCATTTATGATACAACACTATGGTACATTTGCATTTGCTTGCGTTTGTTTATATTTAACAACCATATATGTAATCAAACCTTATAAATAAATTAACTAAATATATACCAATTAAAAATTATAAAAAAATCGTTTTATTCTCCTGCAAAGGGTTGCCAGTCTCGATATTTTGTGGTATTTAAAAAGTAAACTTGAATACTCTTCGTCACTCACAGTCGAATAAATTTAATTATAAATAGTTAGACTTTTTTTATTAGTGGGATTCTAGTTTTGAGCTTTTACATTATGAAAAATTATAACTAAAAAACTAAGTGTGTGAAAAATCGTGTATACTTGTACAAATAGAACAATGGCAACATTGGTGAAATTAAAATAAAAGAGACCAACTGATTTAAGCGTTGCAACTATATTCATAACTTTTAACAAGTATAGGCGGTATGTACAGAAGGGCGGAATATCGGTGACTGATTGGGCTATAAGTTGAAAAGTTATAAAAAGAAATTATAAAAAGCAAAATATTTAGAAATAAAATGGCTTGTTTAACAAATTTTTAAACACTAAATGAGTAAACGATTGAAAAACTATAATGATTTAAATAATTAATATTTTATGTAGTTGCCACCTTATTATAACTGAAGTTTTTTCAAACTAAACTTAGAGTTAAACCATCACAGGAAATTGTCAACAATATAAATAAAGATATGTACATGCATATGGCAGAAGGTGTTTTTGTTTTATAGAGTTGCCACCTGTTTTATTTAATAATACTTTGAAATGGAATTTAGAAGTTGCAAATTCGCAATAGAATGTGAGTAGAAACCGGCAAATATCTGCCAAGCAACAATTTCAGTAAATGATGTTATAGAGTTGCCACGTTTTCAAAAATTATAAATATGTATTTAACAAAAAACTTCGAAAATGTATATAATGTGCGCATGTAAATGGTATTTTTAATAAAAAATAATAATCGCAGAGATACATTTAATGGTGTTGCCACCTGATTAGAATTTAAAAAAAATTTAAAATAATGCAATATATAAATGGCATCACTAGAAGAAATTCATTCAAATTCACAATTAAGTATCTTCAATTTTTTTGGATTGTTAAGCGTATAAGTTTCATGTCTGAAAACAAAAAAATCCAAGTTGGTCACCTTTCTAAATCTTAAAAATAACTTCGTTAAGAAATACTACAAATTTTATTGGGTTAAAAAGTCTTACAGTTGTAAATATTTTCGTGCGAAAGAGCGTTGCCGCATGTTTCAAATTTAAATTATATATAATTACCGGTAAAAACCAAAGAGCTTGAAGAAAGCTCACAGGCGCAGCTTTTAATTTTTTTATGAAATTAAATTGATAAACTAAAAATAAATAAAATATATATATATGTATGGGCTGCAAGCTTTTGTAGTACATTTTTAAGAAAAAGAGTTGCCAACTGTTTTAAAGTTAAATAAAATATCAAAAATTCAATATAACAGTATCTTATGCAAACGCGCTAAAATTCTTGATGCGATATGGATATAATTGATCTTTCGCTCCTAAAATTACTTCCGAGCAAATTGATCAAGTGAATCCACACTAAACTTGAGATTAAATAGTAATTTGAACATTGTACTAACTGTCTTGTCTACCTCAAAGTTCTCGCGATGCAGATTTGAACGCCGCAATATGATTGTGTCGCTTTTAATCTGTCTACTGACACCTCATTGCCATGGCGACTTATTCTCAAATTTTTATATAATAGGAAATAGTTTCCGATGTTCCTCAAGCCATTACACAGTGAGCTGTTCGGTGGCGGCTTAATTGTTTTGATACCCTGTAATTATGGATATCAGAGTTAAAACCAAATCAACGCGACGCCATTCGAGCGTCTCCTCCAACGACAGTTCCAGGCTTCTATTAAAAACTGTGTACCTTAAGATGCCGTTATTATTTACACAACTATTACTTACCGTTATAATGAAAATTCGCATATATAAGTACAAATTCGCTTACAATTTATTTATTCATAAAAACTGAACATCGATCGCTTAGGAATAGATACATATATATTATCATACAAAATTAAATAGAAAACCTCAAAAATGAAATTCAATTAAAACAACTTAAGCACTAACACGCTAAAGCTACAATTTACCCAAAGCATTAAAAACAGTTGAACTAGTCAAACACACATGGAAACTAAAGCAAAATGAACGCTCAGTCGTCCAACAGCTCCTGCTTGACTGCATGACTGGTGGCGGCTGGTGTTGACGAGGCTGAGGCATAAGTGGTAGATGAGGAGGGCGTGGTGCCGTTGACTATATTGGTGCGCAAAAGATTGGCGCTGGAACGCGTCATAGCGCCGCGATGCGCTACAGCAGAAGCCGGTGACGCTACCGTTGTTGGTGGTGTATTAGCTGAGTGGCGCACCGTCGAGGAGATCGAGGCGACATTCTTTGGTAACGCGGTCATAGCGGTGGTGCTGGACGCTACCGCAGGACTCTGTAGCAAGGTGCTGAGACGACGTATCATCGCCAAATCCGCGGCATTCACTACAGTCATTGCGGTGGGTGAGGCGGTGTTCAGCATATGTAACGGTGAGGCATAGCCGGAAGCTGAAGGCGAAGTTGCCGGTGTCGGTCTGGGTGTGGGTGTACGTCGTTTACTGCTCGTTGTATAGCCATTCGTATAGCCATTGCTGCTGGCAATGGATATGTTACCGTTATGTATGCTATTTGAATGCGACGGCCGCCGTATTACGCTGCTGGCATGTGCTGTGTTCTCGAATATCTCACCGATTACTTCGTAGATGCGCTTCTTGAAAATTATCTTTTGACGGAAGTCCATCGCCTTCATTTCGGGCAACAAACCTTGCAGGAAAGCGGCATCAAAATCAGGATCGGGCGTGCAGAGTTCACTGGGCTGCGGCTACGTGAAAGACATTATATATATAAATTTACTAAAAAGAAATTAAGAACCGGTAAAATGTGTAACTCACCTTGATATCGCGCTCCTGCTCCACTTCGGCGCACATCATGGACTCGGCGGTGCGCAAACGCTTTTTAAACGGATAAAGTGGCACCACTGGCACTTCGGCCACAATGCGTTCCACTTCCATGGTATTGATCGGCGGTGTCGCTACCAGCTGCTGTTGTTGCGGCATAGAGACAGGTTGTTGTTGTTGTATATGTTGCGACAGCAGCGGCAGCGGTGAGTTTTGCACTGGTAATTTACGTTCCATCGCATCGACTTGCATTTCCTCCGTGCACTGTTGCTGGCACTGCACTATTTGTTGATCAGCCTTGCCCGTTAGTGTGCCTTCATCTCCGCTACTGCAAGGTGTACGTTCCTGACGTGAATCATCTTCGTCAGTGTTACGCTGTTGTTCCTCCTCCTCTTCCTCCTCCTGTGCTGCCATGGCCACGAAGCCGTCAAAGGACTCCTCACCAATGGGTACCTCAATCATTTCGCTTTTCTCATCGGCCGATGTGTAATAGTTGGGACGACGTGACACCGGTATGCCGGGTGTTATGTGACGTGCAAGGAACTGTAGCTCTTCGTGTAGGTAATATGGTTTGGTACGATTCGCGCTGGACGGTATTTTGTTGACATTGATGGAACGCGCGAAAGAGGTACGTATGTTGCGCCAGCGCTCTTTGCATGAGGGAACTGTAGGGAATAGAAACAGAACTTAGTACCGTTTGATAGCATATTACTCTATATATAATATATGATTAACAATTTTTGTTGTGTATGAAATCTGCTTTACGCCTTAACCGATAAGTCTCAGCGAAGAGTCTAGGTTCCAGTGAATGAAAATCTTATATATATTTAAAATATAATTCCATATCTTATGTCGAAGACATTTAATCTACATAGTTGGATAAGAAACAACCACAAGGCCCGATATGTACTAACAAAGAAACTTCAATATTTCTGTAAAAAAAAAATAGAGTATTCGGTGGACAGGAAGATCATCATACTTAAATGCCAGCTGTTATGTGTAAGGAAACCCGCTATTTACTTGGATAAGTAACTCCGGGGCAGTCTGTAAACTTCTCTAACGGTTTTGCAAAGAGAGAAGATTTCTGAAGAGAATTAATTGCAGAACGTGCGACCTTGCATAATTTTAGGAGAGAAATGGGGTGTTACTAAAGAACAGCTAACATATTTAGCTATGGCGTAGTAAATAATTCATACCCCTTACTGCATTTGCACTTCGGCAAAAGTGTAAGAAAGAAAGCCCGCGAATGCAATGCATCCGAAATACTCAGCTATGAGATGATATACATGTATATACATATATGTTGCATGGGCATGTGTAGCTGAATGTGTGTACGTGACCGAGTCACCGGCATTTCCGCTGCACGGCAGCGCCGCACAAATATTGCCCCCGCTGTTATTCATTGTCATTGTTGGCAACAACACAAAGCGCCAACAATGGCTGGAAGAACAGACAAACACAACGAAAAACTAAAAACAAGGAAAAGGTAAAAGCAAAAGCAGCGCGCTCAGCAGAAGCAGGCGCAAAAACAAACAAGCGCTGAGAGCAGAGCAAACAAAGTTTGCGAGAGCGGATGCAGAGAGAGAGCGAACAAGCGCGCGCGCAAGAGACAGAGCATAATTTAAAGAAGCAGAAATATTAACACAGCAGCGCTCGCATCAACGTCACGACGCCAGCGGCTCACGAATAACAATATGGCACATCACATTTTAGCGCCGACAATGCAATGGTCAATAGCAACAACAATAAAAAAATATATATTCATAATCTGTATTGTGACGATAGCAATAACTTGCCAGCGCATTAAATTGTTGATTAGCGCTATATGTCTGCCTCGTTGTCAACGACAAAAACAAGCGCTGCCGCCTGCGTCCAAGTCAGCGTTGGCGTCGCAACTAAAGCGTGCGCACGCGTCGGCTATAATATTGGCAACAAAGTGCGCGCAATTGACACGCTGACTGTTTGACAGTCGGCGCTTTGCCACACCAAGCAATGCTTGTGCAGCGACATAAAAAACAATGGCCACAACAACAACAAGCGAATGTTGTCAACCAACAGCAAGGCGAAACAACACGTCATGACAGCTGCAAGTAGGCGGAAAAGGTTTTCGCCCTGCAGGGAGCAGCAAGCGAGCGCCAGGCTAGCGTGTTGTGTTTTCTGTTGTTATAGTTGGCTACTGTTTGTTCGCACACGCAAACGCGCTTACTTTTGTTAGCTGAAATGCGTGTTTGCATGCAAATAGCTAAGTTTTTTTCGTACTTACTTGAGTCATCCATTTCCTTGGATATCTTCACCCACGCCTTATCGACAACATCCTTTTTCAGGTAGTGCGGATGCGAGCGATCGTACATGCAAGGGTAGCGCTCGACTAGACGGCAGATTTTTGCGTTAATTTGATAATTATCCGGTTTGGAGTCGTTCGATGTGGACAGCCTCATTTTGCTTTGGTTATTTGCTTCTACAACTGTTGTGGTTTTTGTTGTTACGATGCAATAAAATCACTTACAATATGTGCTCATATGCGCTTGCAATATACGGACACAAGCGCGATAAAAGCACTAATAAACACTTGCGACTGACGCGTTTCAACCGCGCGGCAGACAAATACTGTCAAAGCGTTAAGTTTCACGAAACTGTCAGAACGCGCTAAACGAGAATGCGTTATATTTCAACAAAGTTATATTTTGTTATTGTATATTTATGTCAACACTAAGTGGCAACAGTTGCTGCAATTCACTATATTATTTTAATAACAGAGCGCACACCGCGCAAACACGTCTCACCAAGGCGCTCGATACAAATGACGCAGAAGGCAATGATGAAATCACCTAACAGCAACGCGCTGGTGTAGCAACTGCAATTTCGCAGCACAGCAACTTGCAATTGTGGTCAACCAATGGCGGAATGAACAAACGAATCAACGCGGCAAACGATAACAAACGACTGAAGCGGCGGCGCACACACAAACAATGCGCGCTGTACAAATACGATATATATATATATGTATGTAGGTATGCGCTGTAACGACGATGGCAATCGACGAAAAAAAGCGAGCAACAGCTACAACGGTAGACGAGCAACTGAATGCGAAATGTGCTGTGCTGAGCTAAACTGGGCTGAGTTCGGTTGGTTGAGTTTCTCGTATGTGTGTGTGTACAGCGGGGCGGCAGCAGCGATTGCTTGTCACTGTCTGCTGCAAAGTGGTTGCGGCGAGAGCGGCAGGGTATAGCCTGCGTTGGTAGCCACAGCGAAGCAAGAGAGGGAAAGCATGTGCATGTATGCGTGCGCGCTAGTATTTGTACGAGCAAGCAGCAACAATAGCCGAGCAAAAACTGAACGAAACCATTAAGTAACGTCAACAACAAGGCAAACGTCGCTGACAATATAGCAACACTAGCTGGCGGCTGGCTGTACGTTGTTTGGTCAAAGTAATGACGCGTTGACAACCACAATCAATACATACTATACCAGCGCATGCAAACGCACCGTCATTTTTACACACAAATGCACATAAGCATAAGCGCTAGCGCGCGACACTTGCTCCCAACTACCTGGCGCAAGTCAATTTAACGACAGTGTTTTACGCTGCTGAAGCCAGCGCCAATGCTGCTGCGACTGTTGTTGCTGCAGCTGAAAGCAAAAGCGACACGATAAGCGTACAATATAGCATAGCAGAGATATGTATGTATGTACAGTTGTTGACATGCTTGTGTGGTGCGCAGAGCGCGGAGGCGACGTTGGCGGCTAGCCGGGTGCAGGCAATGGCAACAGTGTTGCTGTGGCGATGACGACAATAGCAACGACGGCGACAAAACAACAGCATGTACTATACACGAATAACAACAACAACAACAACAGCAAAAACAGCTGCTACTGCAATAACAATGGTGTTGTTGTAGATATTTGTTTGTGCGTTACGGCGGCGTTCTGAATATGGCTGCGCGTCAATGAAAAGGCAAAGTGGCGATAGCAGGGATATGGTGCGATGTGAATTGTTGTATTTTTTGTTGCTTTGTACTTCGTGCTAAGTGCACACAAATGTATGTATATATGTATGTTTAATGAAAATAATAATTGTACTGTAAAAAAAAATAAACAGTATTAAAAAAATTGGCGAAATGCGAAATTTATCAACACTTCGAACCAATTCAGGTGGGCTAACGCAAACTGGAGCAAACTGGAATATACAAACATTTGTGATTTCAACAATGGTAAATAACTCACTAATTAGAAGTGTAGCACCAACAATCAAAAATATTCTAATTTTATATGAAATACATTTTTTTGGCGCGTCAGCTTATGAACAAAAATCGCTTAAATCAAAAGCGCAGGTATACAGGTATGTATGTATGTATGTATGTATGTATGTGCTAGGTATCTGTATATATATACATATGCATATGTCTCATAGTTATGTATTCCATTTATGCGGAAAATTTCGTGAAAAATTTCGCCGGAAAAATTCGTCTGCACTCATATCCGATCAAAAGTCTGACTAGGTCATATTATTCAAGGTCACTTAGCGGGCCTTTACTTACTCTGTTCGTGACTGTTTCAAGGTTACAAGCAACTCATACGCAAGCAGCAATAAATATTGCAATACTGTACTATGAAGCGAAAGCCTTCTCTATTGTAAGAGCTCCATACTAACGTGAGAGAGGATTCTCTTCGTAGAAAGTCATGTTTTTACAATCGTATAATAAGAGATCAAAGTTATTGCCGATTGTATTAGACGCATTAATTAAAAATTTTCGAAATTGGTTTGTCTCTCTTAAGACTACAATCGATCAAGCAACTTAATTGGACCGAAACATGGAGTATTTTCATAAACGGGTCTTGCAAATATTCCTAAAACACTATAGAAGATATCAATCAGACTATACCATTGTGTATAAAATCCATTGAAAGCTACCCTGTCCCAGGAAATCGACTTAAGGTTAAACAAGGTTAGGAAGAGCATTCTGAAACAATTAATAAATGCAAAAAAATGTATATAAATGCAAAATAATACGCAACAATATTAGATAACCATTTGGAATGGGGAATACTTCGCTCGAGCATTATTTCTTCATATTGAATGAAAATCTTTCTAAAACAGTAATATAAAAGAAAGATTACATCTCGGGCATATCTTGTATAGTAGAAAACGCCACTATCACGCTAAGGTCATAAAAAAGTTGTTCTGACTCAAAGAATAATAGATTACTGAGATCAGATAAACAAAACTTGCGTATTTTAAATGCTCTTCTTGACAGTTTAAGATCTATAAAGTGTAATTACATCTCATATCTTATACGATCAAAGGGATATGAAGGGATTTCCTTTCAAAACATTTTTTAAAACTATCGGCGTTCTCAGTGAATTCCAAGTCGAATTTATATGTACATCTTATACATTGCAGTTACAGAAATAACAAAAACCAAAGGCTGGTCTAGTACTTATGTGTTTCCACACAAACCACTAAGAACTTTAAGTAAAACCACGTATGTGTCCATATACATAAGTATACATACGTATCTATATTTTATATATAACTGTAACCCATTTCTTATCGTGCGTATGTGGGACGTAAAACGATTGCGGCTTTGCTTTTCACAAACTAGTGATTGCATACGAAAACTGCCTAAATTTATATATATATATAAATATATATATATACATATATACAAAATACATACGCGTATAGTTGCAATGCATATCAACCCCCACTAAGTCGCCCCGTTCGGTCGACCGCCCGTCAAGCTTGCGACAGTCAGCGTTGCAAAATCGGTGAGACTATTGGTATCTGTATATATGTATGTGTGTATGTAAGTCTCAACCCATCTATGTATGTTATTTGTAACTATAATTGTTCACGTGCGTACTTGCAACATAAAATACAGAAAGCAATAACAATTCGAAGAAAGTGGCGGACTTTTGGTAATAATATTGTTGAAGGGGAAATGTTTTAAGGAGTATACATATGTATGTTCCGGAACTACTCAGAAGTAGTTAGTTTACAGAGGTAAATTTTGTGCCAGAAACGTGCTTTTGAAAGCATATAGCATACAAAATGAACGATCGAAATCAAGTTCTTCTTCAAGTAGCTTCGGTACCACTGAAGTTAAAGTTTTTTCTTGTAGGTCTTGAGGAATAATATCCTCATAAAAATCTATAAACATACAGGAGGTTACATCTCCTAAACCTTACTTTTTTTGTCCTTTTTTTGTTAAATTTAAATTTTGACGAATTGAGTGAAATATGTGGATAGCTGGCTGTAGTTCAAACTGCTCGGAGCTACATATATTCTCTCAAAGAGTAGATTACCCAGCAATCCTTCATCAATAAGCCGTTAAGATATTACAAAATTTAATTGTAACGGCAACACTAGAGCGCTTAGTAGAAAATAACAAAACTTCGCCCATTTTGGCTGAAAAACTCTAACATTGACGACGGTTTCGAAACAGCGATAACAGGCGCGACAGCAGCAACAGCCGCACTAAATAAAATATGAGAACAATATGAGAAAAGGTAGCGCGGCAGGGGTGTGTCGAAATGCGGTAAGACAAAAAATGCGGCAGCAAAATGGGCGACAATAACTGGCAATCAAATAACAACAGCAGCTGCTGGCGTGCCTTACTGCTGTGGTGTTGTTGTAATGTAAAAATTTAGGTATGTATAGCCCAAAAACCAACAATATAATACATACGAACGTTGTTGCCAGCGAACGACAACGGCGTTGGCAAAAACAAAAGTATTTATGTGTATGTATTCGTGCTAAAGTGCCGACATTAGGCCAAATACGAGTAAATCCAGGCGAACCGTGTTATATGCGCACCTACACACACACACACAGACACACATATTGCACGCCATTTAGCGCAGCGAAACGGCAGCTACGCGACTCAGTCAGTCGGTCATAAAATCAGTCTGACACACACATTTATGTACATATGTATGTATGTATGTATATACATATACACATGCACAGCCACCATATAGACGCTAGAGTCATGCTCGCGCGTCTACACACAAACAGGTAAGCCGACGAGCAACAAAAGCAGCTACAACAAACAACAATGACAATAACATTCCAAGCATTCGGCAGGCCACAACCAAATTTTTAAGCATTTTTAGCAACAACACAATTGTTTTCCCCGAGTTTACTAAGAATTTTCGCACTTCGTGGAGCTACCTACATTTATATGTACTTTTGTTTCAAGGTATGTAGAATTGTCAGTGGATATGTAATTTTTGTTAATAAAATTTTTTTTTATGTATGTTTGTATTATAGAAGCCTTAAAATATGGTATAAGGTAAATCTTCGAAATTTTTTTTTAGGAATTGATCATAACATACTTACTATACATATCTAGCATTTTTAGAATGCAAAGTGCTGAACTTTAAACTAGGTTTCAGCATTATAATAACTGCGTTTCACCCCCAAACGTCCTCTGTTTATTGAAAAAAAAAACACAAACAGCTCAATCTAACTTAGCTTATATATAGTATATTGAAAGTAGTAGGACGATTTTTCCATGTCGTGTCCGAATATCCGGTGTTGCGTCTTATACTGAGACATAAACTAAAAAACTGAAAAAATCAAAGACAACTCTTTATAGGTCCATTATAATATCTTCAACAATAAAACTAATAGGCGCCTGAATGAGCGAAAGTCCAATGAGTCGATTCTTAAGCTCTCGCTAAACAGATGCTGTAGAAAAACTGGAAACATTAAAGAAACGACTATGAAGCGCTTGACTAAAATTATGTAATGAAGAGAAAAACGCAAGGCTATGAAAACGTAAAGGGTTTTCTTTGGCGTTGATTACTGATCTCTAACATATTTATACCCTGAACAGGCTATATTAAGTTTGTCAGAAAGTTTGAAACACTCAGAAGGAAACGTAGAACAGCCTATAAAACTTACATATATATATGTAAAGAAATGAGCAGCATGAAAAGCTGACTAGCCATGTCCGTCTGTCTGTCTGTATATACGCGTACCAACACCTTAGTTTTTGAGATATCGATCTGAAGTTTAGCACATATACTTTTCTCCCCAAGAAGCTACTCATTTGTTGTAATCCCACGGGACTACTATAGCATACAGCTATATATATGTATAAACTGATCAATCAAAGTTAAGTCCTTGTAGGAAAAACTATTTTATTTGACAAGCTATGTATCTTCACGAAATTTGGCATGGCTTATAAGCCAAGGCAAAGGTCTAACTTCCAAACATATTGTTTAGATCAGAGCACTGACGATTACACATACATATATAGCTGCCATACAAACTGTACACACATATATATACATATGCTTATATATGTATGTATGAACTAATGTTTCATCACTTCCGAGTTAGCCACTTGAAATTGTATTGCAGGTACTGGTGTACTCTTGTCATTATTTCGCTCTCGCTATCTTACTTAGAATACTTTTGTTGTTATTGTTACAGTAGTTGTTTATGTGTGAATTGAATTGTAGCTGCTCATTTATTACAATTATTGTTTTTGTAACAAATTACGTTATTATCGCGTTGCTGCTCATTGTTTGTCTTATCGCTGCGCGGTGAGTGTATGCGTGCGTGTGTGTGTGAATGATTGTTTGTCATTGTTGTTATTGCTCTGCTACAACAAAGCATTATAATATTTTGTTTTGTTGACAGTGCCGCCGCTAACTCTAAATATAATTAAATAATGGCAGTAGGGCTTGTTGTTGTTGCTGCTGTCGCGTAATCACACATAGCGCAGCTACAACAGTGCTGTTGTTGTTGTAAAATTTTGTGTTATCGTGCCATATTGGCTGGAAGCGTTGAAGTGTACGTTGTAGCAGTTGTTGTTGTTGTTTTATTTATTCGCCGATCAAATATTAATAAAATTTGCTTGCTACCGCACACACATACATACATATGTAGACACATTTATAAATATATGTATATTCTACCAAAGGTGGAAATTGTTGCTGTTGTTGTTGTTATTATACGCATCTCCGCCAAGCCTGCTGTTGTTATCGCAACTTGTTGTACCAGGCGTTTTTTTCTTTCTTTTTATTGTTGCTATCGCCGTTGGCATCGCAATGCGTCAGCGTGCAGCTCACATGAAACTGCTCGCCAGACTTTTGCTGCTGTTATTGTTTTTGTTGGCATGCTCCCATACATGCATGTATTTCTTGTATATGCGCATATTGTTATTGCTGTCATGCTGTCTTCTTATGCTCTTACTCACTCACGCTGCTTGTATTCGTGTATTTTTGTATGTGTGTGTGTGTACACTTCCCTTCACCTGACAGCTGTTGTTGCCGTCGTTGTAGTTGTCGCTACATTTCTAGTTGCTTTTGTTGTTATTGCTATCGCAAACCATTTTCCCCCGCCATCGTCTCTGAGCGTCTGACGCATTACTATACAATTTTCTACTACTACTTGTTGTTGTCTGCTAATGTTATCGCTACCGTCTTACACAAATAGATTTTGAATGGCGGGTACCTTTTTATTAACGGCAATGAAACCGTTGGTTAAGACTTCCACGTTTCCCGAAATGATTTAGAGGGCTATAAGACTACCTCTATCAGGCCATACGTAGACCTACCAATCCTTAGTAATGCCAGGTTAAGCTTAATTTGAGCTGAAGTATTCATCATATTGGACGTCAACGCTGTTTGCGAACTTGATATCTAATTTTGATATTTCACCTAGCTGCTGGAACTGCGAGGCTCCTCTAATAGGAGGTGTTGCAGCGTCTCTCTCATACCTATAATTAGGTCAATAACCGTTCTGCAGTCCTTTACACACAGTGTGAGTAAAAAGCATACGAGTTTCCTTTCGGGGCTCTTGCTTATGATCTTGGATATTCTGCATGTCGCTAAAGCATTCAATCTCGTCCTGTTCCGTCTGCCAGCGCTTTCGGAAATTTCATTATACATATGTATATCGTTTTTCCTGAACTGGTTCGGTAGCCAGACAGATAACACTTTTGAAAAGCTTTTCGGCAGCCCCTAAATATATCTCCTGCCTGCTTCTAAGAACATTCTCTAACGTAATGCGTAGTGAGACTATTGCCTTAATTGTCGCCTGGCTGTCGACGTAAAGAATACCTCTAAATATATGACGAAACCCTAGCTCTCTGCACATACTACACATCCTGCTCTTTATATCAACAGAATTGTGGAAAGATAGAGCTGATCTCTGGCGCCTACCGATATGATAGACTATTACTATTTGATTGTATGGCAACCCGACGTCGTCGACTCTCCAACATATGCTGATCAAATTTAAGACGATCGCTTCGACAAGCAAGCAATTTACCGAATAATTGGAAAATATGTGGATTCTAGTCTATATAATTTGCCTCGAGGTTCCTTCCAAAATCAGCAAGTTTGATCTAACGGTTATTAAACAAGAATTTGAACAATTTGTTCGGAGATTTTAGCGTTGCCTTAGATAATAATCCGTGCCAATTTTCGTGAAGACATCTTGTCAAATAAAAAAGAGATTCATCTAAGCATTGCAATGAATCGGTGAGGCCCTACACTGCAATTATTAGAGCGAGTATCGAGTTCCTTCATTAAGGCTGAAAATGACAACATTGCCAGGCAATTGGTTTCGACAAGCGACAAAATCAATAAAAACTTTACTACATTATCAGGCAACAATGTTGCTGATATATTAATAGAGTAGTAAGTGCAATAGATGGACAGTACATTTCTAGATATGTATGTATACTCGTATACATATTTGTATATATGTGTGTGTGTTGACTTTGTAACTCAGTTAGTTGGTCAGACAGGCACATGTGCCTGGCATGTTTACAACGTTGGGTGTAAATACGACTCTGTTTGGTACTTATAGCTATATACAAATATACATATATTTATATATGCGTATACATACATCTACCATATATATGTATGCATGTATGTAAGCACTTTTCTATGAGCGCGCACGAACAAGTGCAGCAACTACAAAATGTGTGAACAAATATGAATTTGACGAA